CTTTTGCACAAGATTACAAATAAAATTCGTCAAATTTGGTTGCAGTATGGACAGATAAGCGATTTTCCTGCCCATTTAGGCTATTGTCAGACGAGCGTGATTTCACGCCTGTCATTTTTGACGGACGTCACGGGATTGCATATATGGGAGTGATCAGACGGACGCGGACACGAAAAATCACGTTGCTTGGCACGGACAAATAGCCGGATCGTCCGCGATAATCTCATGACGTTGAATGACCATTGCAAGTTAAGAGATACACTCCAAGCCTACGGTCGTCAGACACAAACATCTAGACCCTGAGCGAGCATTAATGTCAATTTCTTCCGCATCGTGGTGCATACGCAACGTCAGCTTTTTCGCCCGATCCGAAGAGTAAAACTAGCGCGTTTATCATTGTTTATCTTACTGTAGACTAGTGTTCGAATATCCATCGATATATGTCGATATTTTTATGCAAAACAGCGATAGTATCGATCGGTTATCTGATTTACAATCGATTGCTAACCTATTAATGTAGCGGCCGATGGCCGAGCGGTCAAAGTAGCAGCTCTGGAGAACCCGAGATTGAATCCGAGCGGGTCGGAAAATCCCCAGGAATTTTTCGGGGGTGGTCCGACCGAATATGTTGGGTCCCGTCCATCACTACCTGGCCGCCCCATTGTGGGCTGTCTGAACCCATAATTGGCTTGCTTAAAGAGGCCTCCTACTGCTCTACAGGGCGGAAAGAGTTTTAAAAAATCCTATTAGTGTAAAGTGGATGTCAAATAAAAACATAGTAAACAATCGGATTTATTTAATAAACAAACAAACTATACTTAATTAAAAAGTTATTTTTTTCAGAAATATTAAATAATTTACATTTCTCGACTATAATCGGCTTCTTTTTCAAAGATAATATCTCCGGTTGTCGAGAAGGCTCTTCGGAGCCAACAGAGAAACCACAAATACAGCCGTATTTGTGAAAAGTTGTTTTCGGATTATCGAAATAAGAATATCTACCTTGTTGACTCAAAATTGAAACGGGTTAAAATTCGGAGGCTCGATCGTTCGATATAATACCAAAAAGCAATAATTGCGTCCGCTGTTAAATTATTTGTATTTGGTGAATGTCTACTCTTCCTTAAAAAGTCAAAAAGATCTGGTGCATTATTTAGACTTCTTTATTTTCTTGTTCGTTTTCAAGTACGAATGATTCGGCATTCATTGAAATTCAATTTATTGTATTTGCAAGTTTATTTGCTATTGCTTTTAAAGAATTTCTATAATTCCCCTTAAGTCGAAAAACGGGGCTCTTTAATCTAGGATCTAAAATTGTTGAAATGCCACATATAATTCATGTTTCGTAAGCATTTAATATCTTGATTACTCCTTTGATTACAATAACTTTTTATCGCATTCTATAGCAACGAAATTTTGAATTTTGTTAGTGTCTTTAGCTTGACGTAAGTCCATTGAAAATTGGAACGATTGAATATGTCGTAACGTACGGTACATATCGGCCGAGATGTTCTTAGTTGATTGTTCAAAAAGTTCCAAACAATTAAAACTTTCTTGTAAATTACAATTTCCTTGGTTGTTATTGGCAAGGGAGATTTTGGTACTGAAATAAAGGGAGTCCTACATCATCTTTTAATTTCGATAATCTTATCGTATTTAATTACAGTAGAGCGTCGTTTATCCAAAACGTCGGTTATCCGAAAGCATTTCAGTCGGCAAATTAAAATTTTTGCTAGTGCTGTGGCGCTGCAATCCTTGGCTATATCTTTGGGTATTCCAATATCTATATATATAACCCATTCAACTGTCCGTCTGTCCCGTAACCGTTTGAAAACGGACACTAGAGGCGCCCCTATCGTGTATCATATTTCAAACATTCAAATTAACAATTTTAATTCTTATTTAAATTAACAATATAAATTNATATTTGTTAATAGTAGATAGCCAGTTAATTAAAACTAAAAATAATAAAATAATAATCAAAACTTTCGTTTTTACACCGAAACTGGAACTGAAACTAAAACAAGTAAAACGGCAAAACCGTATTTGGGCCAAGACTATGTCTCGGAGACTCACTACTAAGCAGAATCACTTTGACGCTCAAGGCGGGTCTCGTTCTCATTCTCCAATCTTCTTTGATATCGCTTCTTTTGGGCGCGATCGTTCAAATTTCACCGGCCACACCACGAGGTCATCTACGATGCATTTTCCATGAAATTAACCTATGCAATTGAATTTTTGTCGATGCGCAACGAAAATTTCCCGTTTTTGAAAAAAACAATCGTGGCTATTATATCGTCCGAAATTATTTTTTTGATTTTGCACAAACACTATACAGTTTAATCCGATTATAACGTCATCGGATGTAACGACAACCCTAATATAACGTCAAATTTTTATCGGTCCTACGATTTTACTGTACTAGATAATGTTTAAAAAAAACCCACTTGTAACGACATAAAACCGTTTTAACATCATATTTGAAGCACTCTCAAATTTACAAATGTAGATTACAGATTTTATTTAACGTAGAAGAAACTACGTGTTCAGTCCTAAGGTCAGAGTTCACTTCTTAGAATGACTGTGGGTGGTACTCTCCCCTACCCGACTTCGGTGGGATGAGGTCAGTGGCGTAGCTTGGATGTCAGCCGCCCGGGACGGAGGAAAATTTCACCCCCCTATTTAGATATCTCAATTGAAAAGACTAAAATTCAGTTTCGTCAAAGAATAAGTACTGTAATGAAAAATTCCGTGCTAGTGTTGCCACTTTTTTAAAATCGCTGACCCGGACGGCAGGTGAGGTTTGTTCAAACAGAAGTTCTTGACGCATGCGCATGTCATTTTGCAATGCGAAGAATAATTTGCAGTGCATGCTGGTTCTAAATCAGTTACAGTTAGCGACTGTAACTGATCACTGGTAGGGAGACTTGGATAGGAGTAACGCAAGTGGCCTAGCTCTATTGGATATTGAAGGTGTGTGTATATATATACAGTATATATATATATACGAATAAATCGTACAAGGAAAAAAAAAATCGACAGGTAGCGCACGACATCCCCGGACGGCGAATCGATTCCCAGACTCCGGATGGTATTCCGTGCTCATTTCAATCGGTCCGAATCGTAGGTGCACGAAAATATGAAATAAAATGGTTCAAATTCTTACAAGATATTATTATTATTTATTGTGAAATTTTGCCGCCCCCACTACGCTACTGAGTGAGATGGCTGTTTTGCCTGTTTGTAGAAGAGAGTCACCATTTAGTATTTTATTTTGACTCGATTCTCGGTCCCCTGACTACCTACGAGTCTGAATTTTTTTATGCGCAAATGATTTTGGCACCTAATACTCTGTGCCAAATATCAACTCTCGACATGTACTCCTTCATACCTCAATGCTGGTAATAAAAAACGGCAGTACAATTTTATAAATAAGACATAGTCTTGTCAATAAAATCAAAATTAATTAATTAATTNTTTCTCTTATATAATATTAAAAGATTCAAATATAATATCAAATATTATATTTATATAATATCAAAAGATAATATCAAGGATTCTGTAAGAATTAAAAGTGAAAAGTATGATGACAGAATGATATTTCATCAATCCCATTTTCTAAAATAAATTTTTTATTTTACACTGAGAAGAGGGATACAGTAGAGCGTCGATTATCCGAAAGTCAATCATCCGAAACGTCAATCATCCGAAAGTCAATCATCCGAAACGTCAATCATCCGAAAGAATTCCAGTCGGCAAATTTAAATTTTCGCCAGTGCTGTGGCGCTGCAATCTTCGGCTATGTCTTGGGCTACTCAAATCTTTTACGTTTTTGACACTAAATTAACTTCTGAAGGATAATTTTTTTTTGTTTTTATATTTTTCAATATATTTATTTTTTTCGTACAAAATAAAAGAATAATTTTTAACGATACAATAGTCTTCGTTAGGCTTAATATCGACGAAAATTCAACGCGAAGAGACACGCAACGGAGAAAAATGTCAAGATGGGATAAATTAATATATTTTTCGTGTATAATCGGTTGTCCGAAACATCGATCTTCCGAACAACCCCAGTCCCCAATTGATTCGAATAATCGACGCTGTACTGTATGTATTTATTTTTTTAGAAAATACAAGGAAAGCGGCACATCCACCGCTTCCAATGACAGCACTCCACCGACCGTTACCTATTTATTGAACAGATGTGTTATACTCAAAACATTATGTACTGTACAAAACTTTAATTCACAATATGTAGCAATATAACAGTTTTAAACTATTTAAAACCTGGATAAATTAAATCGAAAATAATTATATTTTCGATTTAATGTGGATAAATCGAAAATATATTAGAGAGGTTGCGGCCGACGTTTTCAACGCGAAAACGTTACGTCAGAAGTTCAACGCCGCCTTCCTGTAAGCCTAGAAGTTTGACAATGGCGTTTGGAACGTCGAGCATGATTCCACTGACGTTCCAACCGTCATTGTCAAACGTCTAGGCTTACAGGAAGGCGGCGCTGAACGTCCGATGTACACGTTTTCGCGTTGAAAACATCAGCCGTAACCTTTCTAATTATTTTCGATTTATCCACATCCTCATCTGTTAAAATTTAATAAAATGATAATTTGAAATTATCATTTTATTAAATTTTTTAATAAACCAAATATACTTTTTATTTATTTATACATGTATAAAATTTAAAAATGTAATTACGAATAAAATTTTTTGACAGAACAGTAGAAAAATGTTACAAAAATGCTTGAAAACGGGAAAATTACCTACTAACCAAATAGATAAGCCAACTTATCGCCATAGTGCGACTCTAACGCCAGCTATTCGCAATCTGGCATATTAACCGTACTTTACAGCATAGAGCAAGGACCAGTATATTTAACGACTCTGATTATAACCATTAAAGAGCGCTGTTTTACTTTAGGGTTTCGACTTTAAAATATTATTTCGAAACTAGTTCGAAATGATTATTACCGTTTTTAATTTTTTTCCCACAGATACAGAACAGATTTGATAAATTCTCGCCAATTATCAGTAAAACCGATATTCGAAGGTGGCGCTACGAAAATCACAGAACAGGAACCTTTTATTCCATTCGTTTAGAAAGGAATTAAGAAATGGTAAATAATCTAAATACACTATTATTGTTTCGTTCAAATGAAATAAATATAAGAACTCATTCTTTTTATAATATGCATAGGCAATGAGTAGTAGAAGACGTTCTTCGAAGAGAAGTTTAAATAGAATGCTGTTAGAACTAACCGAACACGAAAAAAGGGATCTGAAGACGGCATTTGATATGCTTGATAACGAAGGATCGGGAATTATTGGTAGAGAGGACTTAAAAGTAATAAAATATACTAAGTAATTCGTAATTATATAATATGGCCGCAATTTTTCCGATATGACATGACATTTCACAGTTACGTCCCAATCTTATAGTCTAATGAAAATACATCGGGCTCTCGCTAACCCGGCCATTTCTTACACGGGAGGAGTGTCGGATTACTCAAAGCCTATAGACCCAATGAATGCCCAATTGTCATATTCAGTTTTTGATAGTAATAGAAGCATTTCTAAGTTTTGTTTCTTTTACCCACCTTTTTCACATAACTACTTTATCTTTAAAACAATTTTGTCAACTAATGATGAAATACTTTCCTGTTTGATTTACATGCTTAAATTTATTTCGTTCAAATGACCAAATTGCTCACAAAGAAAATTCGCATTATTTTCTAAACTATATGAAGTTTTTGAGCAGATCATTTAGTACTGGTCATATTAGTATCGAAATTCGGTGGTTATCAAAAAGCAAGGTGTCAGCACGATTTTTCGAATTACGAGAAGAGTTACTTATTTCTTTTACAATTGACCAAAATAAATGTAGTAATTACTCAAGCAACAGTACATAGTGCTCAGGTAATACTTGGTGCTCTCCTCAGGATATCAATTTGGTATCTAGGAGTTGAATCAAGTTACAGTTTATAAATAACTTGTTTTTTTAAATTTTTAAATGAATGTAAATAAGTATAACTCTAGATAAATATTATAATTATCACTGTTTGACATTTAATTTTTTAGGTTGTTTTTAGGGCATTAGGTTTCTACCCCAAAAATGATGAAATCAGCACTATGATTAATGACGTCAATAGAGATGGGTCAGGTAAATATTTCAACAAAATGATAATACGTAAACTTAATTTTAATTATAGTTAGATTTATAAAATATTCTTACGAATTTTCATTATTTTTAAACTGAAAATATGTGACCGTTTGGTAAGACACAATTCTTAGCAGCTTTGCAAAGATTTATATTTTATTATAAATATGCCATTTTTAATAAAAGACTTATCAAATAGGATCGATCTGTTGGGTGAAGAACTAATATATGATGGATGTTATCTATGTTGAAAACAATTGTTAAAATCGGGCATTAACGCTTACGACACAGAGTATTGTCAAATAAGAAATGAGACCACTAACAAGTAAGATCCAAAATGGCGGACGAATCAGCTATCTGTATAGACGGTATTGGAGGAAGTTGTCATTGCGCATGTTAGGCTTGAGTAGGCGCAAAAATACATCCGGTAAAATGGTAGCTTACTAGCATTATTAACTTGTAAGCATAGTTAGTTGATGTGGTGTTGTGGATTTTCTCTAGTTCTGTAATAATACAGTAACGTGTTAAAAATGTAATTTTTGCTCTGATATGATAACTTTCTACTTATGAAATGGATGCTGCATTTGTACAGTAAAAAGTGAAATTGTAATACCACGAAGGAATTTGTAATTGCACGTACTCGCGTGCAAATTTCAGGACCGTTAGAGATGACAGAGATATGCAAATGATTAAGATTGCATACTCATGGGGTCATGTGGTACCCAGTTTCGGGCTATAAGGTCCCACAATCGGCTCGGGCCGCAAATGCTATCAGCGACGGTTCGCGGCAGCCGATTTTTCGAAGAAGCGCAGAAAACGCCTCTGAGACGACAGCGCGCTAAATACCACCAGTTAACAGCTGGGGAACAAGACCGTATCCTGTGCGCATCAACAAATAGCAACCTCGGTTTGTCGATGCGCACAGTTGTCACGCGTGTTGGACACGACGTGAGCTTGAGTACCATCAAACTATGGCACAATGGATCTGGGAACATCTGCGAACACACCGAAGAGGGTGTTCAAGAATTACTCAGATGACTGTTTAATTCCCAGATTTTTTTTTTCAGATAAAGTAAAAATATCTGAGAAATTAAATAGGCTTCCGAGTAATTCTTGAGCTCGTGTGAACGTCGGATTCGTAGGATATAACGTTTCAATGTATTCGTCCAAAAACCTCGTTTTAAGTGGTTATAAAAGTGAATGATTATATCCCGCAAATGTTACTAATTTTAGTTTAGTATGAGAATTTGATGTTAATTCGCTATCCATGATGCATTTTAGAACTCCCACGGCGTACACCTACATAAACTTGGCTTTGTGTTCTAATCCATTCGAATAAAGGCATCAACCATGTGCGAACAAGTGCTGACATGTCTAAGGCCAAGACTCCACTAGCATAAAAGCGGGCTTAAAAACCTTCGCCGTAAAAGCTTTTAATCACGTGACCGTGATATTTTAGGCCAGAGCACGTCGTAAAACCAACGTAAAAGCGAGTTGAGCAGTGTTCAACTTTCGACGCGAATACGGTCGTAAAACGGTACTATCCACCAATCAGAAGCCAGTGATATCTAGGTCATTGTGACATGGTGCGAAAATGGCGGAAAACGAGCTTTTGTGTACGATCCCTCGTGGCTGTCTAGAATAGATCTGAAAAGAATTATCGAAAACATCCGAAAGTGTTCGTGTATTTACGACAAGAAGTATCCCGATTATAATAATGGACGCCTAAAACACGCGATATGGACGGCCAAAGGAAAATCCTTCAATTTAGAGGAGTATATAATAAAAAAAATTAAGCTTATAAGTGCTGTATATCCTCTTAATTAATAATATGATAATAAAAGTTAATATATGAAAGTAAAAATATTTAGTTTTACTACATTTGTAATTATAGTACAGAAAAAACTCGTAGAATATAATCATTGTCTTCATAACTTCGATAGTAGTACGCCGTAAAAACTTCGCTAGCCGGACCTCCAGCGCAATCCAGAAGCAAACGCAAATAGGCCACGCGATTAAAAGCTTTTACGGCGAAGGTTTTTACGCCAGTTTTTACACTGTGGAGTCTCTGCCTAAGATGATGTTCGAACACCCGGACATGCTCGTAATTACAGTCGTTTGCAGACATCACAAATTTCAGTATATTTATGATTCTATTACGTATATAGGCTCACCTCGCTTTAAGCCGCTTCACTAATATGGCGCTTTCCAATTACAGTATATTCATTTGTATTATTTTCGGCTCTTGCTTTGCTTTAAGGTTTTCGATATTTTTATATACAGTCGACTCCCCTATAACGCGGTAGATACGTTCCACTTTATAAGAATTTCGGTTGTATGAATCCTTAAATACATGAGCCAATCACAGCTCGGCACGTGTGCAGTTTACGGACTACGGCTGTTTGAAAGGTTTTCTTCTATAAAATTAATCGATTCTAAACTAATTTGACTCAACATTTCCAAAACACGTATAATTTTTTGGGAATAATTCGTATAAACTATGCTATAAACAAATTTTAATTGTAGGATTACTTACCGAGTGTGCATTTGCCATTGCTTAAGCTTGTTTTCGTCGCGGAGCAGCGCACCAAACGGCGGGCGCGTTTTCTAATAAGTTATTTTTCCGCGAAAAATTCGTTGAACTTTGGAGACATCAGTAATAGAAATAATTTTTATGGCCGTTGAATAAGAAATGTTTCTTCACAAGAAATGTATAAAATTACAGTACTGTATTAGACTTACAGTACCTAATTTAGGCCTATATACTGTAGACCAGGGGTGGCCAAAACGTGGCGCATTGGACGATTACAAGTGGCGCTTCAGTTCTGAGCAAAATTGCCAGATTTGGCTTTTTTGCGATTAAGAATATTATATAGAAAAATAAATTTTTTATAGTCTGTCATGGCAAGTTCATTTGTTGCACAATTCGTTACAGTCTATTTTGCAGATAAAATGAGTGTTCTCCACATAGTAAATTACAGTGAATGCACGTATTTTGAGTCTTGTGATCTTTATTTCCGATCAGTTTACAGGCGTGTAAATGGCCGAAAACATTTATTGTGATTAAAGTTATTCCAAACTGATCTTGTTCTCAGTGCCAATAATTGTGGTGCAGAGTAATCTTCACCAAACGAGACTCTGGCAGCAATAGCATCATCACGAAGCAATAGCCCTCTCGTACAGGAGATTATTGTTGACTATTGTAAATTGGTGCTTCAATAAACTGTCATAAATTAATTAATTCAACTGCGTAATAAAGTTATTCCTTTTTCTCTCCTAAGCGAAGCAGATTTATTCTTATCTCTATTTATCAACCCCTAACATTGAACGTAAGATTGTATAAAAAGTGTTCGAGTTATATGGCGCATCTGAACTCGTCTGTCAAAAAATTGGCGCATGGTATGCAAAAGGTTGGCCACCCCTG